GCATTCTGCACAGCTGGGAAACCTGGATGCTCACTCACATCCTCACTCTTTCATGGGATAATGAAGATCTCTCTTTTTCTCAAGCTTTGCTATCTGGGTGAGGGGTGACACAGATAAAGATAATTATTTCTCTTGTCCATTCCAGTGCATTCATATTTGTATTCATTTTCATTTCAACGGAGTGTTGGAACTTCTCTCTATACCTGGATATCCACAAAGGCTTTCTTGTCTATGGATGATTGTCTAATTCAGTATTTTTTAGGAACTCCCTGAGTTTGGCTAAGAGGGGCTGGAGCCAGTTCACAGATCACTGCAGGGTCCATAGCTAGAACTGAGGTTGTCTGCCTGTTAATAATGCTTGGGTGGGGGACACTCATGCTGGGTCCCTTGGCTTAAGGTGTTAGATTCCACAGCTCCCTAAAAGGCACTTTTATGTTTGGGTCAATGCAGAATTTTTTTCTTTTTACAGTGGAACAAAAATGAAGGATGCCTTATACCACCCTGATGCTGATATGTCTTCCCAAATCTAATTCATTTACATTGAAACCTAATTATTATTAGCAAAGGATTTACTATTGTCATTTTAAAAATTGTATTTTGACTGTTTTGTAGTTCCTTTCTTTCTTCCTGTCATGCTATTTTCACTTTTGATGATTTTTTTTGTAGTGGTATATATTGATTCTTTTCTCTTCTTTAAAAAAAAAAATCTACTACAAGTTTTTTAGTTGTTATCATGAGGTTTAACTAAAGTGTTTTATAAATATAACGGTCTATTTTAAAGTGATAAATTGAACTATATAAAAACTCTACAATTTAAATTCCACACATTTTGTGTTATTAATGTCACAATTTACATATATATATATGTTACTGGTGTATTCAGTAACACATTATTGTAGCTGTAATTATCTTTAACACTTTTTTCTTTTACCTTTTATATCAGAGTTAAAATTGATTTACATACCACCGTGACAGTATTTGAGTATTCTGAATTTGACTACAATTGTGTACCACTTAAAGATGGGGATACTTTCTAAGAAATGTGTTGTTAGGGACCATTGTGTGAACATCATAGATTGTACTTACACAAATCTAGATTGTGTAGCCTACTACACACCTAGGCTCTATGGTATAGCCTATTGCTCCTATGCTATAAGTTGTATAGCATATTAATGTATAAAACAACACAAGATTTAATTAAGCACAAGAGAATGATGCAATCAAAAGACACAGTAAATACAAGATGCATGAAGATGCTGCTGGCATAATACGGCATACTGTTTGACAGCAAACTTTTTTTATAAGTCAAAAGAGTACTCCTTAAAATAAAATAAAACTATGGTATGGTAAATACATAAACCGTTGACAGCCATTTTTATCATTATCAATTATTATGTAATTTACATAATTGTATGTGTTATACTTTTATATGACTGGCAGGACACTGGGTTTCTTTACACCAGCATCATCACAACCACATAATGTGTTGTACTATGATGTTATTATGGCTACTACCTTGCAATAGGAATTTTTCATTCCATTATAATCTTACAAAACCACTGTCATGTATGCATTTCATAAGTGATCGAAAAGTCATCATGCAGCGCATGACTGTATAGTCTTAGCTTTACAGTGAGTTTTATACTTTCACTTGTTGACATGTCAACTTAAAGACATGTCTTTTCATTTCAACTTAAAGAACTCCCTTTAGCATTTCTTGTAAAGCAAGTTTAGTGGTAATGAACTCCCACATCTTTTCTTTATCTGGGAAAATGTTTATCTCTCCTTTATTTCGAAGGATAGCTTTGCTAGGTAAAGTATTCTTGGTTGTCAGTCTTTTTTTTTTTTCCTTTGGCATTTTGATATAGTATTTCCTTCTCTCCTGGCCTGTAAGGTTTCTGCTGAAAAATCCACTGATAGCCATATGATAGTTCTCTTGTATGTGAGGAATTTTTCGTGTTGCTGCTTATAAAATTCTTTCTTTGTCTTTGATTTTAGATGGTTTTATTTTAATGTGTCTTGGTGAAGATCTTTTTGGGTTCAGACTTTTAGGGTAAATGTCCAAATCTATCCAGATTTGAGAAGTTCTCCACCAGTTTGTCTTTTTTAAATAAGCATTCTTCCTCATTCTCTTCTTCTCCTTCTAGGATTCAAATTATAAGTAAATTGCTTCTTTTAATAGTATCCCGTAATTAATAGGTTCTCTTCATTCATTTTCATTCTTGTTGTCGTTTCTCTCATTGGATAATATCAAATATCTTGTAGTTTAGTTCATTGATTTCTTTGCTTCGTTGAGTCTGATGTTGAAGCTGTCTATTGACTTCTTCACTTTAGTCATTGCATTCTTTAACTCCAAGATCCTATTGTTTTAATGGTTTATATTTTTTGTTGAACTTATTTTGTTCATGTATCCTTCTAATTTTGTTTAGTTTTCTGTGTTTTCCTGTTGTTCACCAAATTTCTTTGAGGATTTTTCTGAACATTTTGTCAGACAGTTCATAAATCTCCATTACTTTAGAGATACTATTGGAGCTTTATTAGTTTCCTTTGGTGGTTTCATATTTTCTTATTTATTTGTGATTCATGTGGCCTTGCATTGGTGTCCACAGTGGTAGATTTGGAGCCTCTATCTCTGGAGAAGGGACTGGTGCTTAGTGGTGGACCTGGTGCCAGAATCCATGGTGATGGGCTTGGGTCCTGTGTCCATAAGAACCAGCTGGGATCTCTGGTCCAGAGGAGCCAGCCTGAGGCTGTGTCTGTGGCATTTGGCTTGACAGTGTGGTGTGCCATGAGCCTGGGTCTATGGGAGCTGGCCTAGAGCTTAGGTTTACAAGGACTAACCTGGTGCTGGGGCTGTCCAGGAACCAGCATCCTCAAGATTTGGTCTGGAGGCTGGGTCTTCTGGGGCCTGATATTATGGTAGGCTGAAGGTCAGTGTCCAGAAGAGTCACTCAGGAGGCTTGTTTCATGGGGCACTCTGACTCTGGGGCATATTTTGAGGCTGAATTTCTGGGGCCAGCCTGGCACTGGGGAGAGTCAGGGACCTTGGCCCATGGGAGCCTATCTTATGCTGGTGCATGCCTAGAGTCTAGTCTTGCAAGAGCTGGTCTGGAGGCTGGGTCTTCAAGGACCAGCAAGGTACTAGGACAGGCCAGGAGCCTGGGTCTCTAAGAACTTGTCTGGTACCTGTGGCTTCTGGGTCCATTTTGGCACTTGGGTGGGTCAGGTCTGTGGGTCCTTGGGAGCTGCCTGGAAGCTGGGACTTTGGAGGCCGGCATGGCACTGCTTTGGGCCTGGTGCTGAGGTTCACGGTGAAGTCACATATTGACTTAACTCTCTTCCTCTCACTGGGAGAGTGTCTCTCTCAGTGCTACAGTGACAGGATTTGGGGGAAAGGTAACAGGTATAATGTGAAACTCTTTACTGCCCTCTTCAGTTCATCTTTTCTATTTCTGCTCTCCACCCAGGTTCTTTGATCCCTCATCTGCAGTCAGTATCTCATGGGGTGTTGTTCAAATTGATGTTTCTGTTAGGGGAAGAGCACTAGAAACTCCTGTATCATCATATTGCTGATGTGATTACCACCTCAGGCTATTAACATCTGTTAAACTCTGGAGATTGGGAATGGAGATTATTAATTTTATTCGTATATATTTTATGTTGTTTCCTTTGTTTCAATGTCTATTACCTTTGCAAATAAAATATTTGTATATAAAACCTTCAGTCTTTATGATGACATTATAAACAAACAAAAAAATTGATGTATATAGTACAGTAAGATTTAAAAGACATATAATGGATAAATTATTAGTTTCTAGAATATATAAAATACTCACATAATAATACAAAAACACTATCTTGATAGAAAAATGGTCAAATAACAGACAATTCTTAGAAGACATAAAATAAATGGCCAGTAATCATAATAAATTAAGTTGACTTTATCATTAATCATTGAAATATAATTCAGTATGAGACATCATTTCCCCATCATATTTGCAACAATCAAAAGTCTCCATAACCTTCAATTTTAGGAAGGATGTAGTGAAATATACACTGTCTATGAGACTAAATTTTAATAGTATGTTATCAGCGTCAAAACTTTAAAGTGTGTACTCTTTGATACATATTTCATGTATAGAACCTGTGGAGATACTCCCACATATGAACAAATATACTTCATTGTTTATAATTTTAAAAAGTTGCAAGGATACTAAATGCTTTTTAACAAAGGAACGACTAAATAAATTATTTTGTTATACAATATATCATGAGGTAGTTGAAATATTGGGATAGATAGATCTATTTTTATATAGAAAAATTATTAAGATATTAAGTGGATTAGAAAAAATTACAGAATAGTGTATATGCTATGATCTATTTTACATTCAAAACCTCTTATCTAAAACTATTACAGTACCTTCTTTGTGTACATTTAAATACATAGAAATAGGTCTAGAAAGAATTGATACTTTTGTTTTCTTCTGGAGATAAGATGGCTGAAGAAAGGCAGAAGTTTGGTGGCAAGAGTAATTTTGTCTGTTATTTGCATTATATGCAGTTAAACTATATTCACGCATTGTGTAAATAAATAAATACTGATTTTCTAAAGAATATAAGAATGTGCTGAGGGGTAGTGGGAGCAGAATGGAACCAGTCAACCAATTATAAAAGCCTCAAAAACAAGAAATACAGAGGAAGACATCCCAGCACTTTTCTCTGGGAAAAAAATGCCTAGAGTGATGGAAATATCTGGTCTGTGTGACAGATAAATCTTCATTGTGCAGACAAATATGTCAGGTATAAAACACGAAGCTAGTTATCAGCATCTTATGACTTTAATATTTATGAAGAAATGCTGTAATAATTTCGCTTCCATTGTAATCTTTCTAGGAGGGAAAGTGGGGTGTTATCTTCTTAACAGACATATCTGATTGGTATGATAATTGTGTTTCTCAATATGAATTAATAAATTATCCTTTTCATTTTATATCTTTCAGTCTTGTGATATAATCGGCACAGTTCCATCTCTTGATTTGGATGAATTCTGGGACATGATCAAGATCAGGCTGTAGTCCTCTAAGATTGAAGGCTATGGCCTGGATCATGGTGAACTCACTAAAGGAAATAACACCTGTAAGATGGTCCTGCAGCAACCAATCAATGTTCTCTTTTGTTCACATCCAGTCCTTACTGTATAACTTTAAATTCCTATAAATCCATTAAGAGCCCAATAAATTTTGTCTCTCATTGCTGTGTTAGTTCTCTATGACTACTGTCTAGTAAATTGTGCATTTTCAGTAAATATTTTATAATAATTCCAAATATGAAATATTACTAAAATTAATGTCAAAATATGACCTTCTTCCTACAAATGACCATCCATTAATTCTTTGTAGTGTGACAATATCAGGAAAGTGTGTGTGGGGAGGTTAAATGGTAAAAACTGAAAAAGAATTGTTTCCAGAACATTTTCTTCACTTTTTTATATGGTATTTATCTATATAATCTATGATATCCCTAATTCTACATCTTAACAATTTTCCTGGTCAAGGTAGTTGTTGTGCTTGTTATTTCTAAAATACTGATATTTAATAAATAAGGTATCTTAATTAAAAGCATTAAAAGTTATGGCGAAAAATACAAGGAGAATGGGAAAACCTTAGTCAGCAACCTTCAATAGTTCACGTAGTTCATAGATTGTTCAGACATTAGATGAAAAAAATTAAAGTTAATTTTGGGGGAATCTTTATAGACATTAAATAATATAGTAAAAATACAATAATTAAAACAATGTATTACTTTCATAGAAATATACGTAAGTCAGTGTAACAGGATATAAAACCCAGAAATGCATAGAAACTTATCTAAGAATTTAAAAGTGGCATTTCAAATTAGTGGAGAAGGGCTGAATCATTCATTAAATTGTATCAAGAGCATCTAGCTGATCGTATGGGAGAAAAATTAGATCTCCCTCCTTATACCATAAATTTAAGCAGTGATAAAATTCCCTGCCTCTTTTAATTTTTTTTTGTTTAAAGGGTTTTTGTAGAGCAGCTTTAGGTTTACAGAAAAATTCAGTGTAAAGTACACAGTTCCCATATACCTCCTGCCACCATGCATGCATAGACTCCTCCATTATCAACATCACCCACCAGAGTGGTATATTTGTTATAACTGATAAACCTACATTGATCAATTTTAATCATCCGAAGTCCACAGTTTACATTAGGATTCATTGTTGGTGATTTACATTCTATGGGGTTGGACAAATGTATAATGACAAATGTAGATGATTATAGTATTGTACAGAATATTTTCACTACACTAAAAATCATCCGTGTTCCACCTATTCATCCCTTCCTTCCCCTCCCCCAACTACTGGCAACCACTGATCTTTATACTGTCTCCATAGTTTTACCTTTTCCTGAATATTATGTAGTTGGAATCATACAGTATGTAACCTATTAATATTGCCTTCTTTTACTTAGTAAAACACATTTAAGTTTCCTTCATGTCTTTTCATGTCTCGATATCTCATTTATTTTTAGTAATGAATAATATTCCATTGTATGGATGTACCAGGTATAAATCCATTCACCTATTAAAGGACGACTTATTTGCTTCTAATTTTGAATGATGAATAAAGCTTCTATAAACATCCATGTGCAGATTTTTGTGTGGACATGTTTTCAATTTGGGAGGTAAATACTAAAAAGCACAATTGTTGGACTGTACTCTAAGAGTTGGTTTACTTTTGTAAGAAATCAACAACTATTTCAAAGTGGTTATAACATTTTGCATTCCAACCGGTTTCTGTTGCTCAGTATTCTAGCCAGCATTATCTTTTGTCAGAGTTCTGGATTTTGGTCATTCTAATAGGCATGTAGTGGTATCTCATTGTTGCTTGAATTTGTATTTCCCTTATGATATTTAATGTGAAGCATTTTTTCATATGCTTCTTGGTTGTGTATATCATCATGGTGATGTCTCTGTTAAAGTCTTTGGCTCATTTTTTTAATCAAGTTGTTTATTTTCTTATTGTTGAGTTTTAAGAATCCTTTGTATATTTTTGAATAACTGTCCTTTTACAAATATTTTCTCCCCACCCTGTAGCTTGGCTTCTCATTCTCTTGAAATTGTCTTTTTGCAGAGCAGATTTTTTTTTTAACCAAGAATACGTGCATGTATTTTTACACATCAGTTTTTTCCCCCAGCTTTATTGAAGTATAATAGACAATTAGTTGCTTATATTTACATTCTACAATTCAATTAGTTTTTTTTAAAATTATAGTTAGCATACAATATATATGTTTCAGTTGTACAGCATAGTGATTAGAAATCTGTTTAACTCATGAAGTGGTCAACCCACTAAATCAGGTACCCCTTTCCCCCCTTACATATTTTTACAACATTGTTGACTATTTTCCTTATGCTACACTTTATATATCCATGACTATTTTGTATGTATCCATTGGTTCTTCTTAATCACTTCGCCCTTTTTCACTGTACCCCCTAACACTCCTCCTGTCTCATAGCCCTAAAAATATTCTCTATGAGTTTATTTCTATTATTATTGTTTTTTTTTAATTTCCTTTATATACCATATGTACGTGAAATCATGTGGTATTTGTCTTTATATGACTTACTTCATTCAGCGCAATATCCTCTAGGTCCATCAAGACAATATCATCTTCCATCCCCTTCCTTAAGGTCCATGTGTGTCTTTTAATCTGAAGCGAGTCTCTTGAAAGCATATTTAGAGGTCTTGTTTTCTTAACCATTCAGCTTCCCTATCTTTTAGTTGGAGCACTTAACTCTTCCATTTGAGGTATGCAGTTATCACCATTCTTTATTCTTGTTTTTGATAATTTTTTTTTTTCTTAAGTCCCTCCAACAATTCCTGTAATACTGGCTTGGTGTTGATGCATTTCTTTAGCTTATTTTTGTCTGGGAAGCTCTTTCTCTCTTATTCGACTCTAAATGATAGCTTTGCGGGATAAAGTATTCTTGGTTGTAGATCTTGGGTTTTCAACACTGAATATTTTGTGTCAAGCCCTTCTGTCCTGCAAAGTTTCTTTTGAGAAATCAGCTGCCAGTCTTATGGGTGCTCCCTTGTAGGTAACTAACTGTTTTTCTCTTGCTGCTTTTAAGATTCTCTCTTTGTACTTAATCTTTAGCATTTCAATGATGATGTGTCTTGGTGTGGGCCTCTTTGAGTTCATTTCTGTTGGAATTCTGAGCTTCCTGAAATTATATGTCTATTTCCTTCACTAGGTTAGGGAAGTTTTCCATCATTATTTCTTCAAATATATATTCAATTTCTTGTTCTCCCTCTTCAGGTACCCCTATGACATGGATGTTTTTACCCTTAAATTTGTCCCCTAGGCTCCTAAAATTATTATTACATTCTTGGTTACTTTTTTTTTTTTACCATTCTGATTGGGTGTCCTTGGCTTCCCCATCCTCTACATCAGTGTTTCGACCCTCTTCTTCCTCCACTCTGTTGATTCCCTCTAATATACTCTTCATCTCAGATAATGTATTCTTCATTTCTGACTGGTTCCCTTTTATAATTTCTACTTCCATTTTTGTTTTTTATCTCTTTGTTAAAGTTCTCGCTGAGTTCATCTACACTTCTCTTAATTTCATTGAGCATCTTTATAACTGGTGTTTTGAACTCTGCATCTGTTAGATTGCTTGACTTCATTTTTCCTTGATCTCTGTTTTGTTCTTTCATATTGTTTCTGCTTCTTTGCCTTCCCATTTTGGCTGCCGTTCTGTGTGTGTTTCTATGTACTAATCAAAGCTCCTAAGTCTCCCGGTGTTATTAGCATTGATTTGTATAGTAGGTGTCCAGTGTCACAGTCCTGAGAGGGGTTCAGCTGCAGGCCAAGTTTAGCCCCAGCTTGTGCCCCTCTGAGAACACCTATTAAGATTCAGCAAGCAATCCACTGATGCTGTGCTCATACCTGCCTCAAAAGCCACGGCAGAAAACAAGATCTGCTGCCACCAGTGTGAGTCTTGACACTGCTCAGAAAGGACACGAGTGGATATGGCTTCAGTGGAGCTGCGAGTTGGGGAAGGTGGAGTTTCAGGGAATCCTCTGGGCGGAGTGAGCTCTGTTATCCAGTTTAAGGAAGTCTCAGCTGTGGCAGCGCTGAGTCTGCACACTGGGATTGGGGAGGGCTCAACAGAGGAGCAATGGGTACCACCAGCACGTCTGCCCTGGAGAAAGCCTTGGCTCTGGCCTGTGCTCCAATAACTCAGTGTCCCCCTGTAAGTCCGGTGTACCCTGAGTGGCCAACCTGGTGCTGGTGCTCAGAGTGAACAAGGCCGTCACCTGTGAAAGTTGGTTGCTGACACAGCCCCTTTAAGAGGGGTCATAGCCTTTGTCTCACTCAGCCACTGGGGACTGGACAGCCTCACATCTTTGCCCCCTGCTACCTCCAGCCTTTGCAGGGTGATTTCTTATTTCTCTTCCTAGTTTTAGTGCTTCTGTTCACCTAGACCCCCAGGCAACTCTGCTTGCTGTTTGCTCCTTGTTTCTGTCTCAGCTTTGATGTGGTCGCAAGAGGGGATGAGTGAAGCTTCTATCCTTTGTGCCATTTTGCCCACTCTCACAGATGTTTTAAATTTTAATGAAGTCCAGCTTATCAATTATTTCATGGATCATGTTTTGGGTTTTGTATATAAAAAGTCATCGTCAGAGGGTTTCTCCCTTATGATCTAGGCGTTTTACAGTTTTGCATTTTACATTTAGGTCTGTGATCTCAGTTAATTTTTCTGATGGGTGTAAGTTTTGTGTCTATAATAATTTTTTTTTTTTTTTGCACATGGCTGTCCAGTTTTGGCAGCACCATTTGTTGAAGTGTATTTTTTGTTTCATTGTTTCGGTTTTGCTCCTTTGTCAAAGATCATTTGCCTATATGTATGTGCATCTATTTCTTGGCTTTCTATCCTGTCCCATTGATTTATTTGTCTATTCTTTTTCCAATGGCAAACTGTCTTGATTATGGTAGCTTTATAGTTAGTTTTGAAGTCAAGTAGCATCAGTCTTTCAACTTTGTTTTTCTTCAACAATGTGTTGGCAATTCTGGGTATTTTCATTCACTGTATAAACTGTAGAATCGGTTTGTTGATATCCATAAAATAACGTCCTGAGATTTTGATTGGGATTGCATTGAATCTATAGATCAAGTTAGGAAGAACTAACATCTTGACAATATTGAGTCTTCCCACCAACAAACAT